AAATAAAAAATGCTTTTATATTTTATTGCATTAAAGGATATCAATCAAATAGATAATGACATTAATTATAATAAACAATATTTGTTGAGCAATACTATGTCTTGGCCCTGTGCTGAGCATTTCAATTACTCCCTCTTTCAGTCCTCCCGACCCTGTGGAGAAGGTATTGCTTTTGTCCATTTACACGGAGGAGACTGAGGCTTAAGTGAGATTGAGTGACTTGTCAGAGATCACATATCTAGTAAATGGGTTCCCTGAGATTTAAACCCACACAGTACGACTCCCGAGTTCATGTTTTTAGCCTCTGCAACAAAGGGCATTCTTTTACAGTTTAAAAAAGGACACACTGTTAGAGGTTTCCCCGCCCCCCCCTTTTCTTTTAAGAGAATATAGATTTTAATTCTTAAGAAGGAAAATAAATAAGTAAATAAATAGATAATTTGTCTTTTTAAGATTGGGGTTTATAGATATAAGCAATTCAGAACTTTGGCACCAAAGAAATGGCAGGCCATGTAGCAGCGTGTTCTGCGGATACAATTATAAAACACTCTGCAACCAGGCTTTTGGGGCAGTGGGGAAGAAAGGAGGGGGTGATGTGCATTAGTAAAAGCACTAGGATTCATAACTATGCATGAAGTTGCTAATCTTTCCAAATCTGGTCCCGTCCATTTAAGCCCAAAGCATAGAAAATGTACAAACCATTAACGATGCTCCATAGTAATGTGCAACAAATCGAAGTGTCTTGCATATTACCTTTCTCTTCTCAGAGTCAAAATCCTGAAGAAATAGATTATTAAAATAAAAAACAAGCTGAGAGAACTAAGTATCTGCAGCATGAAGATGTAAAGTATTCAGTGCAGAAAAAGATTCTAAGTTGTTTATTTTTTGAACACACCCTCAGGAGGAGGATTCCGTTCCCTTGACGTTGCTTCACACAGAGCTGAACAATAGCTGAGGCCTCTCGAGCTACAGCTGTCAGATCTTCCCTGTTTACACACTTAGCTCAATAGACTTTAGAAATCAGCACACATTTCATAGTGTGGAACACCCTAGGGATTCTCTGACAAGCAAAGATAAGAAGAAACCAATTTTCTACTTTCTTCAATTTAAAAGTTGGGAAGTCAGTCCTCTCCCTTGGTGACTGGGTTCAAGATTCGTTCTCTAAATCTCCACCTTATCCCCATTCCACTGGACCTATTGTTCTTTACCTATTTTCTCTTTCCCAACTATATCCTCTCTTCCAAAATCTTGAAGATGAGTCACTTCTTGACCTCTCCCTCTGAGAGGTACTTTCTTATTTCATTATCACTTTTGTTCCTCTCCCATAAAGCACAGACATGAATGTATAACAAGCTCAACTAGAAGTGGGACAGCTTACCTGAAAAATATCGTATTTACTTCCAATTATGACCAGAGGTACTGGAAATGGGTCAATTAATTCGCGATCCTGTTAACATATTTCATTTATTTATTACAGTTATTACTATGTATTCAGCAATTCCCATTTACTTCCAAAAATATAGCATTTTACGTCTGTCACAGATGTTGACTGTGTTTGCTTGACTTTGAGGTTGTTCCAATAATTAACCTTCACTTAGTAAACTGTATTTCTCAAGTATAAAAATAGAAACAGCAATTCCCTAAATTACTAAAAGATTTATTCTTTTTTGTGTTCTGCCCTTTTCTTATATAACATGTCACCTTCATTTTTTTCTTCTATTTCATACCAACTGTTCGCTGCAATAGCAGCATTTATACTGCATACATGGGAACCATAAACGACCAGTTTTGTTCTGATATTACCTGTGTAAAACATATTCAAATAAACTCTGGGTGACATAAAATGCTGCTCTGAGCCTTCTAGAAGATGATATTCATGACTGTACTTAAAGAACTTGTGTTGTCACTTGTTTTGTCACTTGTGTTGCAACTTCATAAGGTAATGACTCGTCAGATGGCAAAGTACTGATTGTGACACTGAATGAACGTAAAATACAGAGCGATGGTGAAGGCTGTTTAAGCCCTAACCCGTGCTCAAATTTGTAGCTGCCTTTAGTTTTTTTGCCAGGTGACATTTGTATAGCCTGTTTTTTTAATCTTCATTTTATAAAATCCGTATCAAACTCCTCCTTTTAAACTACCTTTTGATTGGTGTAATATGCCACAACAATCACAGAAGTTTAAGAAGACATAGGAAATCTTTTCTGTTGTTTTGCTCTTACTGAGGTTTTATTAAATTGCTGTAATTTTCCAGTGAGCAGGCTCATCTACATCAAATGAATTTCAAGTCATGCATAAAAATCTAAAGAAGCTGTTGTGATGTTATCTTTAACCATGTATGGGCTAAGAATTCTGAGAATAATCCCAACAGCCACTCACTGGATGGTCCTTCTGCATGTTACTCCGTATCTTCTGTCTCAGTGCAGAAGCTGCTTTAGAATCTGTCTTTCCCAGTTTCATTATCACTTTATCTACATGGCTTTTTGTGGCTTGTAACAGGTTTTCCATGGTGGGCCAAAGGTCATTAGGTTTGGAAAGATCCAAAATAAGAACAATAGAAAATGTCCTAAAGAAATAAAAAACACCTTTCAAAAAAGACTCAAAATAATTACCATTTTGAAACCCTACTATACTGAAAGTTACTATCTAAGAATGACACTATAGCTTAAGGAAAAAACATAGCAATTTTCTAAGACTAAAAATAAAAAAACTAACACCAAAGTTATAGCCTTATTTATTTGAGTGCTTTTATCCAGTGATATATAAGTGTTACAACCAGTAGTGGCACTGACGCTTTTGTTTGAACTAATAATAATTTAGTTCAAATAATCTGCAAGCAACTGGGTCTAACACTGCATGTTTAGATCCAATTTTACTGTGTTCCAAAGAAGGAAAACTAAAATAATAATAGCAGCACAATCAGGTAAAGGATAAGAAAAGAGATTTACTGATGGACCGTGCTAGGGTTCTACTTAGCTTATTTAATCTTCACAACAACTCTTCCAAGAAGATATAACATTATGAAAGTCCATTTTATGGACTGGAAGTCTGAGGTAGAGATTTATATTAGCTAGTAAACTGTAGAGCTGGTTCTTAGATCCAGAGCCACATGTCTCTGCTACATAACCACCACTCACTGCCACACGTGTGTGTACTCATGTTCATGCGCATCAAACATAAATCTAAACTCAGCAACAATACAAAGAGCTCGATTTAAAAATGGGTAAAGGATTCAAATAGACATTTCTCTAAAGAAGATATATGGATACCAACAAACATATGAAAAGATGCCAACGTTAATCATTAGGGAAATGCAAACCAAACCACCATGAGATACCACTTCACACCCATTAGGATGGCTATGATTAAAACAAAACAAAATACCAGAAAAACACAAGAGAAACTGAAACCCTTGTGCATTGCTGGCAGGAATATAAAATACCATTTTATAAAATGGAAAACAGTATGGTGTTTCCTCAAAATATTAAACATAGAGTTACCATATGATCCAGCAATTGCACTGGGTACACTGAAATCAGGAACTGAAACAGATACATGTACACCAAATGCTCACAGCAGCACTACACATGCTGCTCTATTACAATTTACCTAAAGTCTGCGGACACGTTCAATGCATCTATAATTATTTTATGAACAGTCATTTTAAAGCTAAACAATTCTAACAGCATTTGGCAATATTATTTTCTCAAGTTGCTGGGTTTTGTCCAACACAAGGAAATTATGTGTCAAATTAATTCCAGTCACAAAACACTCTGAGATTTGCAAGTACATGAGGAGTGAAATGTTTTCCATGAATTCTTTAACCACTCAGCAACCTACTTTGGACCCAGGCCTATGGCTCCCCTTCCCTGTGTTCATAACCTTGACCTCTCCTCTCTCCTAAAGCAGGCTCCCACTGCTCTGGGGTTCCAGGGAAAGGGAGAGCAAGAACTCACAAAGTCAGGTATTAAAGAAGCCGTGGAAAGATTTGGCTTCCCACAGAAATCAGAATTTCCACAAGCCCACTGGGTCCAAACCCTGCTGGGCCTAGAAAAGAAGAGTGAGGTGATGTAACAAGGTGATGTGACAAGTGAGGGGCAGAACTGGAGCCAGCTCGCAACCCGGGTAAGAGCCTAACTCCTTTCAGCCTCAGGCCACGCTGGCAGCTCAGGCTCCTTCAGCTCCCTACCACCCTCGCCAGCTCTTTTCAACTGCACCAACCTGAGCTCCCTCACTCCCAGGCAGCTTCAGTCATTTTCTCTGTAAAAGGAGGGCAAATGAAAAACTAGATAGCAGTAAAATTCCATGTTTCTGAAAAATATCTTCACAGGGAAATGACAGTTATAAGTGAAAAAGCAAAATCTAAAATTAAAACATCTAAAATCTGTACAAAGTCTATTTACAAACACTGGAAACACTGAAATAAATACCTTGACATGTTAACAGCGGTTATTTTTTTTATGTGATTATGGGTGCTCTTTCTTTGTACCTTTCAGCATTTTCCCAAGTTTTCTATATGAGCATACGTTAAAATTAGATTTCTTAAAAAAAAAATCACTGGACAAATAAAGCCTACATTACCTATAATCAGCTATGAGAAAACAATTGTCCTGTTAATAAGAAATAATTCCATACTCTCCAGATCTTAATTGTCAGGCCCTTTGTATTTGGTCCACTCATCAGCAACTGTTTGTGTTAAACCCTGACAAAAGTAAGATATTTCAGATTTCAATTTTTTTTGTTTTCCTTGGCTAAGATGGGTTCCCAGGAACATTGTGAGAAATGTCACAATTTGCCACATGTGATTTGGCCAACATGTGGGAGGCACTGCCAGGAAAGCATCCAATGAGTTTGAGGTTTTCCCCAAAGTTCTATTTCTTTAAGATCAGCAAATGAGAGACTTTCTCCCTCCTCTAACTCATCGACTTTCCTTTGCTGAAGCTTCAACAGTATTAATTAGCATTAAACTCAAAGGCAGACATAATATCCAGCTAAAGGAAAAACTCAGGGCTGAGTTAGCTCACACTTGGATGGGTATTGGAAAGAATTTAGCTTTTCAAATCTATTTTTGCCAAATGAATTCATTGCCCAAGTGTTATTTGACGTATTTTTGTTTGTTTGTTTGCAGGCTTGCAAAATATGTTACTAGAAATGCCAGCTCACTTTAGCACAGGCCAGAACCTTAGTTCCTTTTAACTCTCTCCGAAAGCATTACAGTTTAAGCACATAGAAAGGAAATGAGCATAAGTCTTCAGCAACATAAAACTGTCCCCAAACTTCTGATTCACAAAAGCCTACCCATATTCATCCCATGGACACTACTGGGCACTTACTAACAACTTCCTGGAGCTGGCTCACTTACCTTAAGGTGTCACTTGTGATCGGTATGCTGATTAAGTCCAATAAAGAGGTCCCTCCACCTAGTTCCCAAAAGTGAGCAATATCTTTTGGCTGGAAAAAAAAACCACACCAAGTTGTTTTTTCATATTAAAAAATTTTTTTTGAAATTTAAATACCTCTTATACTTCATTAGCACCAGCTAGTAATAATTACAGGTACAAAATACTGTAGCCTTCCATCAATCCTTTCTTGGCAGTCAAAACTTTCCCTTTTCTATCCCATCCTTCAAAATGCACCAAAACATCTATTCCAAAGAACAAAGATAAAACATTAAGAATATATGTGTATACATAAATGCCCTAATTCTAGTAATACCTTAATAGAAGACATAAAGAGTGTCTTAATTCTGTAAATATCACATGTAGCAGACGCTTACTCAAATGTGCTGTAAAAATAACTAGTTGAAAACCTTTGTTATTATCTTTTTGAAAACAGTCAGGATTCTAGGTAGAAATAAAATAGTTGAACAGGAAAACATCTTGATTTAGGGATGTAGAAGCTTGCTAAATAAATTAGATATACAACGTAGGGCATGAGGAAATGGGACAAACAGATGGCAGTCCCAGCTGCAGATCAGGATTCCCCAAGCAAGGATGTGCCTGATGCCCCCCGGAAATCCCACAGGCAGGCTCCCACTGGCAATAAACAACTGCTTCCCTTTTCCTAGGATTCTTAAATATTAGGGGATTGAAAGGGCGAGGCAACCAAGTAGCTTGGAAACAAGACTGTTCTGGGGTGGCCCACGACAGACAACCACCAGAGTTTGTGTTTGGATTTTGGAGCCTGTATTAGCTGCCAGCGGCTACAGTTGCAGCGTCTCACCCATGTAAGAGCCCAACTGCAGCCCTTTCCACATTTTATACTCAGTAACTACAAAGGCAACTACGGTAAAGGGGCTTCTAATAATTTGATAATTTGTTAGGTTGTCAGCTTTTGTAACATGAAACAAGGGGGGGACCTTTAGTAACATAAAAGGGATGATTTAAACACAATGTCTTACAGTGAGTAATGGGGTCATGCTTGACCGGAGTGTGACTGCTTTGTTTTTTCTATAGGAACTCAGGGCGAGTGGTAATTATTGGGCTAGCTTGTCAGGCCTTGTCCTGGACAATAGGGATCTTTTTCTACCTTTACTGTTAGTTCCTTAGGTGTTCTCCTGGCCATGGTGGCCAGAACATGACCATGACTACCTTCCTAGACTGCTAGCTAATGACATCTCTGCTTCCACCCTGATGCTGAGCCGCCTTCAGGACACCGAGACTGTGTGAAGAACTGACAAAGTCTTTCCATTTAGAGCCCTCAAAGAATATTAAACTTGAGAAAGGCATGAATCTTCTAGAATGAATATGGACAAGCCCAACTTGATAGCACAAAGTTTAGAGACAGAAAAATAGGTGAAAAAGAAATACATGAGAACTTGGAAGAGACAGATAGTCATTAAAGCAAGTTTTAGATGAATCTATATCTATTTATATTTTTGACAAATCATCTCATAATCACTAAAATTGTTTTGCTGTTGATATCTGAATCACTGTGTGTGGGGGAAATAATTTTTCGTTGGGAAATGTCAACTGATCTATAGTTTGATGAAAGGAAGTTTTTAGTGCTCTTCTCAGAAGTTAAGCTTATGAAAGTTGTCTCAGAGTTTCCATTTGTTTATCACTTATGTCAAAATTCATGTAACAAAAATAAAGTTTTCCTGCATCTTATTATGTTGATTTTTCTTTTCTTTTTAATTTCAGTTTTATTTTTTTAAATTATCTTTATTGTTGAAAATATTACAGATGTCCCCTTTTTACCCCCATTGATCCCCTTCACCCCGCATCCACCCCACCCCCAGGCCTTCCCCAGACCAGTGTCTGTGTCCATGGGTTATGCTTATAAACATATAAGTTCTTTGATTAATCTCTTCCTGCCCACTCCCCCATCCCCCCCTTCCCTCTGAGATCCCTCAGTCTGTTCCATGCTTCTATGTCTCTGGATCCATTTTGTTCATCAGTTTTAAGACAACACAAAAGAGAAGGCCAAGTATTTTCAGCTAGGGTTAGCTTCACATCCGCCGAGCTGCATCCGACGTTTAACAGTACGGAGCCATGCAGTGTACAGCCTGATATGTTTACCGATCGTAGATAAGATGGAAAATGTAAAACAAAGTCAGCATCAGTACTTCTCCATCTGTGGACATAGCAACATCACTTAAAGACACTCACTGTGTTATGCCCTTTCGCTTTTCTTCCATATGTATATTCCAAAGCTAAGGTTGGTTTTGGTGACTCATCCCTGTGCAAAAAAGACAGTACTACCATTATTTTCTTATGTTCATTTTTGCTTCCTCTTAAAAGTTTAATCGATTAGTGGAGAAGTTACCTTGTATAATAGCATTGAGGTAAAATGATTTTAAAATTATTTAAAAAAACAAATAAGCCTCCAAAACACCATCTTAATGGATTTTAGTGGCAGCTGCAGAGGTGAGTCATGGCGCCTGCATGACGTGGTGGCCCCTAGAGACAGTGCTGGGGCCAGAGGAGAAGGCAGCGGGGCTGGCAGTGTTGACGGCTGTGCCAGGGCACAGGCTCTGGCATCCGGGCCCCGCGGGAAGCACTGACATCAGGTCTATGCTCAGCCCTGATATGGGGAGTGCGGAACCTAATGACTACCAATTTAATGAAGTCATCAAGAGACTTAAACACAGTTCTCTACCTTAAATCACAGCTCAAAATGGGCATCATTTATCTAAGTCCTAAAAATGGACAAATGATTTGAAAAATATTAAAATCATTTGATGAATTACTTACACTATAGCTTACATTGCTTGGTAAGCAGTTTTATGGGTTTTTTTTTTGTTTATAATTGTTTTATTGTAGTAGAAACACATATTGATAATCTTTACAATTTTTAAATGCACAGTCCAGTAATGTTAAGTATATTCACAGTTGTGCAACTGAACTTCTGAACTTTGCCATTTTACAAAACTTAAACTCCAAATCCATTAAACAACTCCCCATTTCCTCCTTCCTCCAGCCCCTGGTAAGCACCATTCTAGTTCCTTTTCCTATAAATGACTACTCTAGATGTGGGATCATATAGTATTTGTTTTATGTGACTAGCATATTTCATTTAGCATATGTCCTCAAGGTTCATCCATGTTGTAGCATGTGATAGGATTTTGTTCCTTTTCAAGGGTGAATAATATTAGTATTCATCTTTAATTTAGAGAAAAAAATAATTTTTAAGTTGTAATTTACATATTTATGTTTATTGCGTATTTTGTATATCATCCCTGCATGTATCTTTTTTCCTACATACAAAGAATAATGTTTAGTTCTGTTTCCTGAAAGATAAAAATTTCCTTTATGAAATAAAATGCTGCTTTTAAGACAAAATTTATAAACTCTGATATTTAACCTACAATTAGAACTGTCCTTTTTCTTTTTTTTTTCTTTTTTTTAAATATATCTTTATTGATTTCAGAGAGAGGAAAGGAGAGGGAGAGAGACAGAAACATCAATGATGAGAGAGTCATTGATCGAGCCCACGACCCGGGCATGTGCCCTGACCGGGAATCTAACCCTGATCGCCTGGATCCTAGGTCGATGCTCAATGGCTAAGCCACGCCCGGCCGGGCAGAACTGTCTTTTCTAAGTAGACTATCAAGGAACTGAAATTCATAATTTTCAGTTTAATTTAGTATTCCATCCTACGCTGATGTGTCAGACGATGTGTTTGTAATGGGAAACACACCTGGCCTGAAAAGAGTCATGATTCCTGGGGATGGAAGGATGATGCAGGTGTCACTGTGGATGGTTCTTCTAAGAAACAATTTTGCTGATAAAAGGACTTACACAAAGCCAGGATTCTATTTGTATTCTTTAATAATATTTTTCAAAGATGTTTCTTTAATGTGACCTTAAGACCAAATTCCATCTCTCTTGATGTTTTTGGAGAAGTTCTAAGAAAGGCATTGGAATAAGGGGAACAGAGAAATATCTTCCAAAATTGGCTGGAGGTTTTCCTTATCAACTTCCTACAACGTCTACCAATTATAATCCTAAATCTTAATCAGATGTCATGCTTCTATAGTATAGATAGTTAAGAAGTACATAAGACAAATGGTAAAATGTACAGTTTGAGGACCAACACTGTGCTTCAAAATTGTATCCATGAGTAATTTAAAGATTGTGACTAACACTCAAATAATAATGGATTAGATAGAATAAAAATATTTTAAATATCATAGGAGCATAGCTAAAGAGAAAGTAAGTATTGGCATGACTGTGTAGTTACGTTAATTTCTCCACCAATAGGGAAATCCAGTTTTAATCCTGTAATTTTTTTTTTTTGGTGGTTGTTAGTTTTATTTTTAAAGAAAATCTCATAGGCCATACTAAGGATTCACTAAGAATTAAATATTTTGTTTGGGCCTCAAAATTGTTATCCTTCCATACGTCTTTTAGAATCTAACTTGCCCTATGCAACCGGAATGAGCAAAAAATGAAGTCTAAAGGTTAACATGACACTTACCTGTCAAGACACCTTAGAATAATAGTAGTCTTTCCCTGGAAATTAAAAAAAGCAATATTGTGTTAATGTCATCCATATGTAAAATTTTACTACTGTTCATAGTTGTGGCCCAAAATAGCTTTTTAATCACTTGAATGATAAATTACCTGGAAACTAGAAACTTTCAAAATTGCTCCTAAGTTTGATAAGTGGAAAAAGTTAACTGTCAACTTTCCATCACAGTTTAACTACATTGCTATTATTATAATTATAAAGTCCCTCGGATGACAAATACTAGCAAATCATACCTCACTTTAGTGGTCAACTTGGCAGCTGTCTTAAATGTCTCTCTACTCATCAGTGCTAATTACTGGTTAAGCTGATGATTAGCGTCTTCTAAAATGTCTGAATTCCAATTATTGAAGTGGAAATAAAGAAAAAAGATAACATACAAATAAAAGGACATGTTGCGAATATGTTCAAAGTAAGCAATCCAGATACTTGGTGAGAGTATTTTTGTTTGTTTTATTTCTAGAGGATATAGTTATTGTAAGTATTTTTAGGACCACATACATGAATTATTTTAATAAAAGTAATTAAAAATACAGTCTGTAAAAAAGGGCCCAATCTAATAAAATTAAGGACAAAAATCAATAGCATAACTGAAAGACTTACAGATCTCAGGCTCAACCTTAATAAACAGACATATACGATTATGAATTTTTTTCTCTTTTTTTTTCCTTTATTTTTTTATATCACCATTTAAATTTTTCTATACAATAACAAAAGCTCAGCATCTGGAAAAAGAGAAGCTGGCAGACCTGCTCTAGTCTATTATAGTTAAACAAAACCTCAAAAATTCTGTCACATCCCGAGAATTACACGTTAGAACAATTCTAGTTGAGAGTTAGTGGGATCATGATGGATAGAGAATCCATGATTGATACAGAGTCCGTCACACAGAAGACACGGCTGAAAGAAATGCAGATAAAGCTGAAACAGATACCCGGGGAGACAGAGTGGTTGCCATTAACTATTTGAAGGGCAATTTTATAATATTTGAAAATTTAGCAGGTACAAAAGAGGAATTCCATTGACTTCCATAGTTTTATAGGTCAGAATGAGGCCGAAGGGGTGGAAGTTACAACCTGAGGCTTTCTAGGAACTAGGGGTTAACAAAAATTGAAACAGGCTGCAGTTGTGTAAGAGAATTCCCCCAGTGCTGGAGATATTCAAACCTAAGCTATACAACCACTGTTTGCAGCGGCCCTTAAACCTTTTCAGGAGGTGCTGGAGTGCTGGGAAAATCTAATTTCCCAGAAAAATGCACTGATGCACAAGCACACAATTTTGCATACATTTCTAGGGAGTTCACTGACCCCAAGAAGTACATCCACGGTCCCCAGGATAAGAACCCCTATTGTAGAAGACTAGAGTATCTCCAAGTTTCCTTCAACTTCTGTGACCCTAGTTAAGACAAGTGAAGGTTAACTATCATACCCCACATGGTTCATGTTTTTATCATCTATATATTTCAGTTGTATGACTGACCACCTGATTAGCATTTATGGTGCCTTTGTGCAAATAAAAGATGACTGCTTTGGGCAGTCTAATTAGAAATAAGTGCCCCTCCCTCCAAGCTGCGGTGGCCCATGTCACAGGAAACCAATGACAAGTGTTCAGGCTGGATGTAAGTAAGTACCCACTCACCCACAAGCAGGACACCCTCATATAGGGCACAACCAGCTCCAATGTAACCAACAGGCTGGAGATATATTATATGGTTAAAAAGTTAAGCATACACATTTTTATCAAAGTATTAATATAAATTTTACCACTGGTTGTTAAACCGTCACAATACTCGAAAAAAAAAGTAGAAAAAATTACCGCATTTTTACTGCCAATGAAGAAAACAGATTTTTCTCCAGTTTCAACTCCATCACCTTCACTTCCATTACTCTCCCGTTTTTCTACTTCAGCTTTTGCAATTTCCCAGAGAGTTTCACTAAACGAGAGGCAGAAAAACAAAATTCAGAGAAACAAGAAGAATCGTTTCCAATATTTATTTCAAACTCAGAAAAATTTTATTTCAATCATATTCATAAAACAAATCAACATTACTTCCTGGGGGGCATAAATTGGTAAAACTGCTGAAGATTGGTCATTTTCTTTGTATTGGTTCATCAAAGAAAGCTGAAAATGATATGCAGAGCCTTTACCGCCAGGCAGAGCCTTTACCGCCAGGCAGAGCCTTTACCACCAGGATCTGAGGGTTCCTTAATTCTGGGGCTTCCAGGCCAGGCTGAAAGCTGTTAGCTTCTCAGACACATACTAATGTCCAACTTTGGGAAATGTCCAACTTGAAAAACAACATCTAGGAAAACGGCAGAACATGTAAAACCAGTGTACCAAACAGTCTCTGCTCCCTCAAATATTTCTATTTTTTAGAATTATATTTTTGGCTCAAGATTCCCTTATTTTTAATACACAAAATATAAAGGAGAAAATCACCCAAAATCACATTTTAAAAACCATTTTTTCATTCATCTATACACACATATATAATTTTACGCAAATTTTACTTCATTTTTTAAATTAAAGCCTACATGGAGTATTGAACTAAAAAAACCGGAGCAAGCCCCGGTGCGTGGTGAGCCTGAAGCTGCACTTTCTGTGCGGGCCGCCTGGGCAAGCTGCCCGACTTCTCCGGACCCGCACCCCTGCTAACTCAGCACCTGGCCCGGGCACCGGCGCGCAGGCCCGGGGAGGCGCCGGCTCGCCCCGTCCACCTCCCGACCCCTCAGCGGTCCTGGTGCGCGATGGGAACGAGCGTGCAGTCCGGGCCCGGCCTCCAGATAGCCACCTGGGGTTGCCGAGCGCTCCTAACGGCTACCATTCCAGGACCAAGGGTGAAGACGGGCAGGGCGCTGCGGAAACCCAACCGGGGCCCTCGGTCTCCCCCGCGGCCCCCGGGGCGGCCCTTCACGCGCACGCGCCCCCCAAAGCCGGGCACCGCGTCCCA